CTGATAACACCATTTATCATATTGTGGCATACAGTGCAGGAGAATGAAGTATAATGTGAAGGGAAAGCACACACACAAACAGGAAACTAACCATAATACTACCAAATATGCATTAAAGAATTAATTAATTCTCCTGTCAGACAATAAGTTGCTCAAAATAATGTTGCATGAGTGTGTTTCTGTCTTCAGCCTGAGCTATATATGAAGCTCTATGTATATTTTTATGTGGGACAGAATTTTTAAAATTACACCAATCTATACATTATATACAAATATTATTTTTGTTATTATTTCAGTGAATTTATAAATCAGTCCTAGGAAAAACTGATAATGAGACTGAAATGGTGGTTTCAAGAAGGTAACCTTGGTAACAGTTTGGCTTGGTTTCCATGGTTATAAAGAGTACTACTGAGAGGCTCAAAGAATCACAATTTTCTTTGATTGGTAGATTCTCAAAAATGATGATTTGGGGAGTGACAGGGGAGTTTAAAAAGGAAAAAGATTTCCCTCATGTGAAATGAGGCTTTAAGCATAATAACAGCATGTTGATGATTGGACACAAGACAAGCCTCTGAAATTTATTGAAATCGCCCTTTGTTCCGTCATTAAAAATTGGGTGGAATATCCCAATTTATAACAGCATGAATCTGAAGACTAAAATCTCTGCTTCTGATTAACGAGACAAAGTACATATATTAGATTATTTGTAACATATTCCTAAAATTAGCTTAAAAATCTATTAGTTGACTTAAATTGTGATCAAATTAAAAAATGTATTTTTGATGTAGCTGTAATGTTTTGTGAGATTTATAGTGAAAAAACATGGTAAAATGGAAAATGTTGTGAGAAGGCATTAAGAATTCTAAAGTCAGGGTACCTCTATAGTCAATTAGTTCAAGAATATCATTTATTTGCTACTTGCTTTTCTCTTCACTATTAGAACTTACTATCTGTCTTGGTTACTTTTCTCTCCTTGCTTAGACAGAATACCCAATGCCCAAAATGAAGGAAGGAAAGGTTTATTTAGCTTACAGTTCGTGGAGGTTTCAGTCCATACTTGGTTGGCTCCGAGGCAGAAGGTAGTAAAGCAACAAGAGCAAAGGGGGGAATGGCAGCCGAACAGCAATGCAGCCAGAGCAAAAGGGCAGAATCGTGCCAAGCAGCCTCTTTCCCTGTCTTACATTGTAAACAGGCTACCCCCATCTACGGGGCATGTAGTTCTCACATAATCTCCATGCCCTCCTCTTCCACAGGCTCAGGATGTATACAAAGTAAGCACCCTGGCTTCCTGCTGAGTCACTTAGCCAAGCCTCTAGACTCCCCAAGTTGACACAATGTATCAACCATAACACTATCAAAAGTAACACAGAATATTAATGACTACCTAAGCTATTGGTTAGAATCTGAAAACTGCATAAAGCCAGTGAAAGTGAATCTTTTAGAGACTAAGGGCTGAAACTACAACCCCGAACTCATTTATGTATCACAAAGCGCCAACACTGCAATTAAACCTGAATACTGAAGTTTTAGAATAGAAAAAACAACTTATGCACTTGGCTCTCATGCTTACAAAACAGCTCATGCACTTGGCTTTCATGTGGACAGAGGGCTCTGTGTGCCTGCTGCAGCACATGGTGTCATAGGTTTGCCACCACTGACCCAAACTGTTGGTCAGAATCTGAATACCTACCTAAACCACCTAGATGCTCCTGGACTTATGATGGATAAAATCCATATACATTGAAAGTATCGTAAGTGGAAAATAACTTAACCCACTAAACCTATCAAACACGATAGCTTAGCAACACAGCAGAGCATCATTTGTTTATCCTCACGATCATATGGTCCATGAGGAGCTGTGGTGTCTCCCAGTGGTTTGCTACTCTGGCCCACCATCTCAAATAAGTATGATACACATATCATGATCCCAGGAAAAGTCATATTAAATCTTATTTTTTAAAAATCGATTAGATGCATATCATTTTCTATCAGTAAGTTTTAAAAACCATCAGTGAAACTTTCATAAGTCAGAAAGACCTGTAACACATGAATTTAAGGATCTATTTTTACATCAAACTCTGTGAGTTTAAAATGTTTTTCCCAGATATGAAATAAACTAAAGGGATAGGCAAACAGGAAAAAATTTGCACAAAGCTCTAAATAGATAACCCATGCCTAGTGTAACTGTCTCAGAACAGAGAAGAGAACAGTAAAAGAAAAACCAAGGATTCTTCATGTACAATTTTCCAGAAGGATGGATGTTTAAAAGGAATGAGCAGTTTCTCAGTGAACTGTCCCAGCAGGTAGGCAAAGTAATTGAAGATAAAAAATTGAAAAACACACCACAAATCTTCTCAGAAGGAAAATAGGTGAATTGGATGAATTAACAGTTGTGTGACTAAGCACTCTACACACACTATTGAGCATACAACTAATAGAAAAAAAAAAATAAAAGAAAACTCCTTTACATAAAAGAGTGAGTTAAAAGAAGCAACCATTTATATTGTGGTACACTTCTTAAGTTACAAGGGGTAAAGTCTTCTTCAGCCATATAAGCGAGGAAAGCGAGACATTTATGAAGTGGAAAATGCCTGTTGTATTCAGAAATCCACATAAATACTCAAAGACAATAGCAGCAGGGTCTACTGAGATCTAAAGGAGATGAAATGTGATCCAGGTATACTTTACCCAGGCAACATGTCTAGCAAGTGTGATGGTGACAAGACTTTCAGACATGATGTGCCTGCACTAAGGGAACAAGCTGATGAGCCAGCCCTTCTGGAAAACAAAACATTATTACAACTCATGATATGGTGAAATTCTTACTAAAAAGCCAATGTTAAGTATTGACCTTTTAATAAATACAGTAGGCCTTAGATCAAATCTTGTTAACACACACAGTTATAGAAAATAATTTTAGAGTTATTTATACAAATATGTTCAATATATATAGTTAGGGTCTATAAGAATAGAAATATTATCTGTTCTAAGTCAAGAGAGGAAAAAAAATAAGAAAAAAATGAAATTCTTCTTATATTTAGTAGCAGACAAAAATAACTATAAAAAAAGGTAGTAGGTATAAACACATAGAAATAGAAATTGAAACTAATATAAAGCAAAAGTGTAGTGAAATACAGATACTAGATGAGATTGTGTACCAGTCCACTTAATGTTACCTTAATGAAATACCTGAGGCTAGGGCATTATAAAAAAAAAGAGGTTTACTTAGCTCACAGTTGTGAATGTCAAGGGCATAGTACTGACATTAGTTCAGCTCTAGTGAAGAGCTTGTGGCTTATGGCATCATGATGTAGGCCTCACATGTGAGAGGAAGAGGTCTCATTGTAATGCCAGAAGCCAAAGGGGCTTGAGGCTTATTCTTTGCAAACCCACAGGGTCTGATGACCTAAGTACCTCCCTGCAAGCCCCTACCAGTTAATCCTGTCACACTGCACACCAGATTTCCAGCACATGAAGTATGGCCAAACCTCAGCCCATGCTTCTAAAAAATTAGCCATACTCATTTTCTATTTTAATATTTTTGCCCTTGTGATCTAAAAGTTGATATCACAAAGTAGTTTAACACGATCAGGTCCATCAAGTTTACTTATATACTGATTTAGGCTAACATGCTTGATGCATATCTACCTTTAATAACCTTTAGAACTGTTCTACATTGTGTTTTAAGTTACACATTAAGAGATATTATTCTACATGTTCTTCAGGCAGTAAAGATTTGAGTTCCTAACTATCATACAGGTACTGTTTAGGTGCTTAGGATGTATGAATGAATCATAAAGATAAAAATTCCTGCTTTGTAAGATCTCACATTTTTGAGAAGGAAGAGAGCCAATGTATAATAAACACAATAAATAAATTGAGCATCTAAAGTGTTAGTGATATAGCCTAGCTGGGCGTGGTGGCACACGCCTGTAATCCTAGCACTTGGGAGGCTGAGGCAGGAGGATCATTGAGAGTTCAAGACCAACCTTGGCTACAAAGTGAGCTCAAGGGCAGCCTGAGCTGCATAGTGAAACCCTGTCTCAAAAAGAAAAAAAAATGAGAGTAATATAGCTCAATTAAAGAAAGAAAATTGAATAAGATAAGAGGGATCAATGGAACTCCTACAAGATATTAAACGGGTATTGTGTATGAGTATTAAATAAGGTGAATAGAAAAAACCTCACTCAAATTGTGGTTTCTAGGCAAAAATCTAGATGAAAGAATTAAATTACAAACATCTTTCACACTAGCATTCCAGAGGAAGGGAACAGTGAGAAGGAAGGTCCAAAGTATAAGAATCCTGGGGTTGTTTAAGGAAGACATATTTCATAGCAAAGCCATTCATTTAGCCTGTCATGTTCTTTTATAACTGTTTACAGACCAATTTTAGCATTTAGAAACAAGGGATAATATCTCATGTTTAAATAAGTTTTTAGAACACCAACATCAGTGAGAATTACTAATGTCTTCTTTATATAATGTGCTCTTTAAGGTAAACACACTTTAAAGAATATTTTATACATTGTGGTTTGCGTCATAATAACCTGTTTCAAAATATTTGTTAGGACACCTGCTCTTCCCTTGGATTGTTGCCTCATCCTCCTTTCACTGAACATTTTATGAAATCAGATAACAGGTCAGTACCTGCACTAGTCTCCATTAGGCAACCACAACAAGAAAAGGAATGCACGCAAACAGTAGAAATATGCCTCACTTTTCCACCAAACTTGAACCTCCTGTTCAGTGGAGCAGCATCCTATATGGTCACAGAGGACTCGTCTCACTTTTTCAGTTACTGTTTACCAAACCAGTCTTTCAACAGCAACAACATTTTTCAATGATTTCTCCTAGAAATAGTGTCAGAAGTAAACACTAGGCATCACTTAACTCTAATGTGTTTTGCTTACTTATTTAACGTATATTTACGGTAACAATTGCCTCAATTTCTTGGGAACCTTGCTCCTGGGTAATGGAAGCTCAGAGACACTTATTTTCAGAGCAGGAAATACGAGGAGCGTGTGCTGCGGAAAACAATTGGTGTACTCTAGCTGACGCTAAATTGCAGCTGCATCGGCCGTGCATGATATGGCTGCTGTCAGGAAAGTCAGTTGTGTACAGAACACTGCTGGGCTGGAGGCTGCAGGTACTGAAGAGTTTATTGCGGAATTCTGGTGATATGGTATCTGAAGATGCAGACAGACAGGAGGAGAAGGTGACCACACTGAATAAGGCACAAGGTAAATATTATTTAAATAATGGTAAAAATAAAGAAATTGCCAAAGTATTAAAGGGAGTTCTTTTGGGGTGTGTTGTAGTCTCTGAAGATTAATTCTTTTAATTCTCCTTCATCTAGTTAATAACTCCAGATTCACATTCTCTCTCTCTCCCTCTCTGTCTGTCTCTCTTCCTCTCTCTCATCTATCTTAATTTTCTCTCTGTGTCTCTTCTTTCCTTGCTTTCATCTCTATCAAACACATATATAAACACACACCCTAAAAGATATTTAAAGAAATAACCTTAACATATTGTGTTCCTGTAGTGTGCAGTTTTCTACTTGTAATTTCTCCATCTCTGTGTCTCTCTCTTGCTCTCATTTATATACATATGATTATACATAACATATACATAAATAGAAACTACTCCAATATTCTTTAAAATCTTTCCAGGGAAATGCCATTAGAAGCTATTAAAAGTTTTAATTGTTCATAACATAGCAGGTAAATGCCAGGAGATAGAGATACTATGAAAACAGGTGTACATAGGTCAAAGAATGCTCTTCAACTTACTTGATGTAGCAAGTCATACCTGAGGAAAATAAAAACTTTGGCCTCTCCCTTGGGCTTCACAATCTTCTGTTTATAGGATACCATTTGTTCCATGGAGTCTTTGTGCACAGAACTCCGAATTGAGTCTTTTCCACATCATCTTGGTGAATAGGGACCCTCTGGAGATATCTGTTCTAGGGCTATGTCTATGTCTCTCAGTCGGGAAGATTCTCCTGTGCATCCAGGACTCCTCTTTCTGATTCTTTTAACTGATGCTTTTCTACATAGAAAGAAAAAGAGAGGATACCAAATGTATTCCTTACTATCAGCTAAGAAAGGTAATCCAATTTACTCTCCTCATTACTCAAGAATGAATGTCTCAAGTTATTACTTACCTGTTGTAAAGTAACAGAGAGGAAAAATTTAACAAGTACTATGTAAGTGAAAAACTGGACAGTCAATTGGATGCCGCATTATGGATTCTAATTACTTTTGATTTTCAAAGAGAAGGTGATTTGTGCTGTTTTATTTTCAGAAGGTAAAAACTGTCTCGCAATTTTTAAAAAAGAAATAAAATATTGAATTTTATTTTGTGATAAAAGTACATGGAGCCCATGTCATTACTTCTCAGTATGTTCACCAATGCTATGAACATATTGAAAAGTTAGTGTTTATTAAATAAATAAATTAGTGGAGCAATATAAGAAAAGATCATGTTTAAGAATGGTAGTAAAGAAACACACTTGGATACAAGTTTATTCATCCATATAAACAAATGGCTAATGGGAGAATTGAAGAAATGTCACTTTACATTAAAATACTGCATTTTTCATGTTTAATAAGGTAGCATTAAATCAAATGACTAGAAAAAACAATAAGAATTATATTTCTCTATATTTTTGTTTTCCTTCCTTTGTATATTTATTTACACACCCCATATTATTTCACTATGGGTTTTAACATAAGAAATTGTAAGTGGAGGGATAAGACTTATGCTTAGAAATACATGCCTGAGGTGGTACGTGATTGGATTCTTAGGTAGATTCATATTTTAGTAGATCAAGCCACGAGTGAAAGGTGCTATTTTGTCACTGAAATATAATCCACTGATTTAGGATTTCCCATCTCTAGTAGTCATTTTTATAGTCAGCTATTCATAAAATTTGCTGTAATTATTATTATATGAAATGGTGTAATGGGAATAGAATAAAACATAAATGCACAAGAAAGTGTATACAGCACTCAGAGAGATGAAGGAGGCCAGTGGGGAGTTTCCTGGGAACAGACAAGACCATTGGCCCTCAATTTTATAACATTTAAGGTTCTTGTTTTTGTACTGCAATCCTATTGTGAGATTTTTAAATTTTGGGTTACGCCAAGTACATCGTGCCTGCTTTACACTGGAGTGGAATGGAAGGAGGAGACTAGTGGTAGTGCGGACCTGAGCGAATGGTGCAGCCATTTTGAGTGATAATGGCCGCCATAGTTCTGTGGAGGCAGCCTGTCCTACATGGCACTCACCATAAGCACTGTGAAGGTGAAGTGGGACTGCAGCGGTGACAGCGACAGGACAGAACGTGCAGCCAGCTTGTGTGCTATAAAACAGCATCACTCAGCTATCTGGTCACACGGGATTAGGATTCCTGAAACATCTGCGAGCTTCATTAAGGCGGGTCTCTGAACCTCTCCTTGAGAAAGTCTAAAAACAAGAATGGAGAGAAGGAAGACCCTAGCTAAGCAAAGGCCAAGCCTTTAAAAAGACAAGACCGGACCAATTTTAAATGTCATTGCCAGGTGGCCTGGGAAGTCTCTGTTTCATATTAAATAGTTGAAGATACCATTTGTCAGTCAGATGACCATGTCTAGATATAGGAGTGGCCTGCCTTCTACAGATTAAATGTTTAATTTGCTTAGATTTTTATTTTCATTTCAAAGTTGGTTGATGCCTTGCAGAACTGTCAAAACTAAATTGTCAATTATGAGGACAACTTAAAATATCTTCCATGATAGGTAAGTAATTCAATTGCTTTGTATTGAACTTTTTGCAAATGTCCAAAGAAAACATTAAGAAATTTAATTTAAAAATACAAATTGCCTGTTCATATCTTTTCTACGCATTGATGACTAACTTATACGATAACAGCTCGAACTTAAAAATCTCTCTTTGCCAAATAAGATAAGTATAAGCTTTTGACAGTTTGCAATCTAGGAGGCTGACTTTTAGTTTTTCGTTGTTAGACTTTCTATGGCCACTTAACTATTTTTACAAGTAGACAGTGTTACTGAAAAGACAATATCACCTGCAAGTCCACCCTCTCCAAAACAAGCCAACCAGGGCAACTGACAGAGTTAGCAAAGTTTCCATTGGCAGCTACATTTTGAAATTCCAGAGGTCTAGTCAAGTTTATGGTGATTCTTTTTACTATTCAATGCAGTTAAATGTCTGTATGTTTTGATAATGTGCAGGAGGTAATTAAATATTTGTTTCCAAAGTCCTCTGATTAATCAGATTTAATTTTAAAATGAAAATAAAGGTTTATTTATATGCATGAAGAGTAGGGAATACATTTTCCTTTTTGGGGAGGGTGGGTTTTTTCAAAAGAAAGTAATAATTATGTTCAAAAATTTTCCACATGTAAAGAAATGTATTGACAACTGTGACAATCTTAAATATTACAGGATTTTTTTTTTTAAATCAGAGCTTCAGGCATAGAAGACTTCTAGAAATTAAAAACAATTCCCAATGTAAAGGTGAATATAGACATGTATATTCTAAGAAGTATAAAATATCTGAGTGCAAATAAAACTCTTAAAATGAGTACTGTTTGCTTTCCTTTCTAGCTTATGTTATTTTTAAATAGTATCTTCCTCCACTACATGACAGGATGGTTTCCTACTAGTGTTTACCTTTGGGAATAACTTCATCTCCCCCTGTTGTCCAAACAGATAAAACCAAGCAGTCTTGAAAGAGCAAGGCACTCCTTCCCCCTGTTATTTGTAAGCTGACATGAGGCAAGCAGACACCTTCTGAAGTTTTATGCATGCTGTTTTCTGTCTGTGCTGCAACAAAAAAGCATTTTCTTTTAACCTGATTGCCTGGAGGAAGTGACTCAGACATCTTCATGGCCTCTAAAGGTAAGAAAAACTATAGCCAGCTAATAAATTTTGTCCTAAATTATGACTAAATATATACAGTTGTTAAAGGGTTATAATCAGTGATATTGATACTTTAAAAGCTATCATTTGTTTCTTTGGAACATTGGAATTTTAAAATTTCTAAAATTTTAACTCGAAGGAGAATGTGCATGAGTAAGCGCACGCATGCACACACACACACACACACACACACACACACTTTACCTGAGAGAATGTAAAAGTTCAGATGTAAAAATGTTTCAGTTGTCATGGATAAACCTAGTGCGTTAGTAAGAAAAAATGCATAGCAAAATAAGAACAGTAATACTGAATGTCAAACACAAGGACAAGACAAAATTACAAGCTTAAAGGGATCTAAAGAAAACATTTCACACAAAGATTTGTAAGTGTTAAGGAATAGTTCAAATGACTTAATTTCTCACTGTTGTTCAAAATGTTATATATCAAACTATTATAAATAACACCGTATATGTTAATGTTAGCCCTTAAATTTTAAGAATTAAAAATAAATGTTACTGGCTGACAAATCAAAAATCTTTCAAAAAATTTTGACAATAAATTAAATATAAGAATTCAAACAAAATATCTATTTAACCAAGCAAATCAACTAGGGAATTGAAAGGAGAGAGACTTGGTAAGATTTCCCTTAATTCCCTAGCCCTATAGAAATATCATTGCTACTGTCTTAAGCTTTCAAAAGATAAGACATGTTCTTTTTAAGGATTAAAATGTTGTATTTCCACTAAAAATACTTGTGAAATTTGTATAAAAATGAAATTATAACATGTTGCTATTCCATCATCAGACCAAATCATTACACACTAGGATGGAATGAACAGTTTAGCATAAAATTATGATTTGTATAATTAGCAGAAATTTTTAATCTAATTATAATAGGATGAGTTCAAAAATTTATAATATCCTAAAATAAATTGATGAACTACTCAAAGAAATGTGTATATTTACTTCATTTAACAAAACCCAATTTAAACACTATTTAATATTAAACAGATGAGGTGATCTTTTTCTTTTTCATCACCATTTAATTTAGCCAAGTCTCTGAGAATCACTGGGAAAGTTTACAGACAATATACACAAGAAATAACAAAATCATGAGTTTTGATATACTTATATTTTATATTTGATGATAAACAAAACCTTCACAAGTGTTTTCTTTCATTTAACTGACACTAACAGTCCAAAATGCTTCATTACTTTATAGAATAAGAGTTATACCAGCACAGCAGCCTGTAAGGTAGAGTTGCAGAGTGCATAAAATGTTTATAAGCTAGTTATACATTTTTAAAAGAGTAGATAGAAATTCAAAGCCAGATAGAAATTCAAAGGAGTTCCTTCTTCATCTGCTGGTCTGGGTCTTTGAGGGAACTTGTGACTAGAAAGCAATATTATGATCAAACTATGATTAATCTACCAAAAACACGGTAATACTCAGTAATAATAAAAGCTTAAGACTAAACTTAGAGGCAAAACTTTAGGTGGAAAATTAACACTCCTTCTGAGATCTACTCACAATACTTAACTTATGCTGTTGATAAAATACTTGTTACAGAACCTGTGCTACTTAAGAGAATAGAAGTGACAATGCAGCTCCCTTTGGAATTAGCACTCTTGTTTGAGAAGACAAGTCAAATTATCATCATTATTTACCTAAAACATTTTTAGGATAGTTTTCTTCAAGTATATTCAAAAAATCACTTGTAACTTTATGATGTTTTTTGCCCATGAAACTGTACTGTCAATTAACATCTTCCTGTATTTAAAAGGTACAGAAAAGTACCCTTCACACAAACTTCCATGAACTGTGTATCAAGGTTGAAGGAATACCACTGTAATCTATCGTTAATGATATATATGCCACTCCAATCTTAGTACATATATATTGAGAATATTTATTCAAATCTTTGTGTAGCTGCTATAAATTTCCCCTTTGTGTTAATCTAGCCTTAGTTTATTTATCTCTCCCATTCATGTGTCTTTAGAACATGAATTAAAGTCAAACATCATATTCTGTCATTGTAACCAATGGTGTACCTCAAGTATTATGGTGAGCCCATGTGATGCATGTCATAAACACATGTACACAACTCAGTCATTACTTTAGTCAAGTTGTTTACCTTTTTCTCAAGTTACTACTAGTATTCTCCCAAATTTCTTTTTATCCAAATTAAAGGTCAAATAACAGTGGCAACAAAAAATTGAGAGCCAGGAGTGGTGGCACACGCCTGTAATCCCAGCCCTTGGGAGGCTGAGGCAGGAGGATCGTTGCAAGTTCGAGACTAGCCTGGGCTACAAAGTGAGCTCAAGGTCAGCCTGAACTGCACAGTGAGACCCTGTCTCAAAAAGACAAAAAAAAAAAAAAAAGTTGAAAATATAGGAAAAGGCACTGCAGTAAAAGGAAGAATATAAACTATCATCTAAATCAAGAATTGGGAACTAGGGATGTAGCTCAGTGGACTGGGGATGTAGTTTAGTGGCTGAAGTACCTGCCTGGCAAGCACAAGGTCCTGAGTTTGATTCCCAGGACAAACAAAACAAAACAAAGAATTGACAAATATTTTAAGAGGCATTACATGAAATGGCCTTGGTGTAAATAGGTGTTGAGATTTTTTTTCTCTTGCAGATACACAGAACCAAAAAGGTAGACGCCTACCTCATTTTCTTCCTGGAACTCCAGACCCAGACCAAAGCTGTGTCATCTCGTCCTCCAATGCAGGGAACCAAGTATGGCAGCCAGGACCCCGTCCACCAAGCAGCTTCCTGCCAACAGTCAGTGTGGTTCCTGGTCTAGAATATTTAAACCAGGTGTTTATACCTTTTTATTTCCACAAATATTTTGCCTTAAAACTAACACAAGCTTAGATTTTTGTTTTTCAGCCAGTGTTTAAAGGCTTCAATAATTTAGTGAACCAAGAGAGGCCTTATAAATTATGAAATTATAAACTATCTGTTTTATTTAGGAAGAATTTGTTTTCTTTCATTGCTAATTGTATCTTCTCCATTTACTTAACAGACTGATGAAACTAAATATTTTCGATAGAGCTATTTAGCACATTTATCTACCTTCTGTTCTCTGTTCAGGTGCTGGCAAACTTATCCTAGGGGAATTGTCTAATATGTCTCAGTTGCCTACAGCTATTCAGTTAACTGAATATTTATTGAGTATTTGCTATACTTAAGGCATATAAGAAGCATGAGACATAGCCTCTCTCACCCAAAATCTTTGCATCCTAATTGGTAAAATAAAAATTGTTGATTAAAAGTGAAAGGATTTATACAAAAGCCCGGTTGCTATATGTAGTGGCACACATCTGCAATCCCAACTTCTTGGAAAATGCAGGCCAGAGGACTGCAAGTTCCCAAGTTCGATATGAGTCTAGGCAACTTAGCAAGACCCTATCTCAAACTAAAAAGTTTAAAACACCCCAAGATGTAGCTCCGCATTCTAGACTGCTTGCTTAGCATGTGAGAAGCCAAGGCTCAATCCCTATCTCACCCCCCGCAAAAGAAAGAAAACAAAGTACACAGTTCTAATATAGGCAGGTGTGTAAAGACAAGATTGTTAAAGCCCTAAACACTCAAGCAGACTTTTTCTGTGAGCTGAGAGTTCAACCAAATCTTCAAAGGAAGGTGAAAATACAAGGGAAAGCAAATTTCTGATTCACCATTCCTGCCTTCTGATAGTAGTGTATCTCCAGGTCAGTTTTCTTGAAAGATAACTACTATTAAGGACAGTCACTGCTCTAGTCATTGCAGAGTACACAGTAATCCAAGCTTTATAATAATTCAGTTAGCAAAGATCGTCACCTGAGTAATATCACAAATGTACAGCAATTGCAATATATACAGATGTATATAATTGGTTTTGTGTTTTGTTCTACAAATATTAGAAATGCACTTACACTAATATTGAGATGTCAGCACATCTGCTGCAATGTTCGGCTTGTCTGGCATTCTTTCAAACTATAAAGTCTGTCTCCTTTATCAAAATCAAACCTCTGTGTTAATTCCCTGAAGGTACAGGAGATTTCTGTTATGCCTGATAGGGTTTAAGCTGCACGCAGCATATGTTCCTGGGAAAATGTTTGTAATTGCAGATGCCTTCTCCAGAAACCCACTGGCAGACAAACGTACTTTAGAGACTGGAGTGCTCAGGGAGATATGTAAAAGAGCTGGAAACGCTAACCTACCGTCTTCCATCTGCAGGAAGGATCAGCTGTAATAGCTGACTAGAGTTGATTAACTGCTGCAAGCTGTTTGGGAATGTTGTCAGACAGGGTTTTGCCAAGTATAAAAGTGATATACCAGTGCCAGAGGGCTGAGGTTTGATGATCACATATGGTCATCCCATCTTCTTCCTCCACCCATGAATGATGACACACCCAGAGCCAGATGCCTGACATGAATACATTTTTTAACATTCAATGCATAGAAATCTGAACACATTGCATTCGATGCAAAATTGAGTACATTTTGCCAAAAATGTACCTCTCCAAACCTTCCCCAGAAAACAAAACATACCACACACTGTTGAACATTTTACTTCTAAAGGGAATAACTTAACTCACTTTAGACTAAAAGAACATTTATGTACTTTGAACCAGTACATGCATAAAGGAATGGATGAGCATTTCATGAGTATTATGCCATGAGCCTGGACATAAATTTTTAGTGTTAACTTTCAACTGAAAACTGAAGGAAACTATGAACACTTGGAAATTATACATTCTGCAACAAATATACAGGAAATCATATAGTAAAAATCTTCCTATGTAAAAACTTAGGCAATTATTTAAAATTTTACTTTATTATGAAGGAAGTTTATTGAATGACTACTGAGAAAAATATTTTCATAAACAAGTTGAAAAAAATACATATATAATTCAGGTTAAATCTAAGGATAAAGTTAATAGATTCCTTTTAGATTAGATTTACATATTTATAATAGTTAATAACATTTTATCTTGTAATATGAAGATAGAAAACTCATTATAATAACTAATTATAATTAGTGATAATTATGCAATAATGAATCATTAAAATTTGGTCCCCAATAGGTATGAGAAAAGTCACATGTAAATATCTAAACTATTTTCAAATATATATACAATATTAATGGAATCAATGATACCTGTAAACCACATTTAAAAGAAAAAAAGGATTCTTAAGCTGTATAGCCAAGGCTGTCATTATAATTTCATTTCTACAGCTTTCATGCTTAAGGAGTTCTTGCCCCGACACCTGAATATATAATTCAATCTGTTTAAAATTTCCATCAATTCCTAGTCCATCAACCAATAGAAAACAATGGAAAGGGTCCATTTGGACCATGGTTTATAAGTGGCTCAGAGCTACTTAAAGGAAACTACAAGAACATCAAAAATCAAGAACTTCAAATCCAGGAGATTTACCCACAAAGAGAAATCAGATCAAATATTATTACAGAGTATGAGGTACGTATTAAAGAAAATAGGAAATAAAGGCATTCACACTTCAGAGTGTTACTTAAGAATTATTTCTTCTAGTTCCTTAATTCAGTAGTGTCAGTAGCATGACAATTTAGGAGTCATATCAGAATTGGTGGTAATTGACATGCTTTATGAGCTTGGTAAATGCCTTAATCTCTCTAATACTATTTCCTTAGTCTAAAATTGATATCCACCTCTTTGAATTTTTGTAAGGATTGTACCAGACATTATATTAAAATATACAGCATAGTGATGGTAATCACTTGATCAACAACAGCTATTATTGAACATTATAAAGGTACAACTCTTTTCACTTTTGATCAATTGATAATCTCAGATCTTAAGAGTAGCATTAGTTCTGTAACACCAATATTCAGAGTTCCCAAGTTTAGATACCTTGGTCTTGACCTCCTATTTGTCCATTCCTAAGTTACTTCTATAGAGATATGCTGCTAAATAATCACGTGTGTCCGCTGTGAGGCTCAGGTCTTCTTTACCCACACGTCTCCATTTCCTCAAAAGAGCTCAAAACTAATGCAATACACTATAGAAGACTTGTTCTAATTTTTTAAAAAGTGTTTTGTTATAATTGTTAAAATGAATTTAGCATATCTCACATCAAATATCTGAAAAATTTGCCAAAACATTGTGAATCTTTAAAAGAATGATGCCATGTACTCTTTTATCAGTACTAACGTTTAAAAAAGAAAAAATAATATTGGTCTTAAACTTATATCAATATATTCAAGAAGAAAATAAAAGGAAATAATGAAGTTTCACCTTTTGTGTTTGTGGTATACAACCGATATCAAATTTTAGCAATTATTTGTTTGGTTTAACAATTCTTAGTGTGCTGACTAAGACAGAGAATGAAGTGAATGAAATATTAAGGCAAAATAAAAAGTGAAACTTTAGAAATATCAACAGTTGCAGCAGTGTTCAGGATTTTGCTTTAGTGGATCTTTAAGTAGTGAAGATCAAATTAAAAATATACATTACATTATTCCAAAAAAACATGCTTTGCATTTCCTTTTTAAAAGCAATATGCATTGCATATTTTAATAGTCATTTTGGACTACCTATGGACACTTAATCTCTGCAAGTCAATTCTCTTTTCAATTACAGAACATAAATGTCACATACTCTGTAGCAGAACTTTTATTTTGTTTATATTTTGTTGACCTCTACAGATTTTCCTAGCCTAAAGACAGTATGTCTGGGAAATATTGTTTTAAATAAATGTTTTCATTTTAAACAAAGATGTTTGATCCTTGACCAATATGAGTTACAGGCTTGCAGATTGACTCTGAGTTAGTGAATTTGGGTCGGGTGGCTAGACACTCATTCAAATCATTATTGCATTTCTTCATTTCTTTAAAAATAAATTGTAGGAAATTTTAAAACATCTTAGACTTGTTTCCAAATTGCCTCTTTTTCCTCATTATCACGAAAAAAAGCACAAAGTTAACCACTGTCATTATTTCTGATAAATCTACCTTGGAATTTTAAGAGTTAATGCACAGTTTTACTTGAATAAAACACATTTTATCCTTGTTTGCATCATAAGGTGTAACATCATTTCAACCAGTTTAGTAGAGAATGCCAAAATCAGCTGATTTCATGTAGTACCAGAAGTAGGTTACTGGCAATATCTCTAAAGATTTATGATATGTTGTGACATAATATTTATTTCCTTTCTGTCATCCTTTAACAGTTAGACCTGATAATTATACACCAGCAGGTGGAGCTTCTGGGAAGTAAGTACATTATATTCTGCATTTACTAAAACTGTTGAAAATGTTTTAATTTCAGAAGTTTCTTTACATCTAAAAATATTATAAACAATAATGTTAAACATATAGAGTAAAATTAGATCAAAAAGAGCATTTGACTGGTGTTTTAATAAAAACTAAAAGTAAAATGATTAGTGTGATTGAAATATAGCTAAAAGTACAGAATTCTCTGTCTTTGGTGCTACTGTAGGCCAAATTCTAAAATTATATTTGATCTTAAAATAACTAAAGGGACTTGCTCATTCCCATTCAAGCTAGTATTTAAATTTCTTAACAGTCTCAGAAATCAAAGATGAGATTAAATAATAAAAAACCATCAAATCAGATTGCCACTGTTTCATCATTTCATCAGTTATTAAGCAAACAGCTATATTATTTATGAGTATATAAATTTATGAGATTGACTGATTTCAATTTACTTAGGTATTTTATGCTCATAGTAATCTACATGATTTCTAAAATATGTCAAAATTTAAATATAGCGTTGGATAGTACACAGCTGCAGGTGTATTACCAGAGATTTTAACACAATCATTATCATCACTGTAAATGGTACCAATAACTTGCATAGTAATGATAGGATGAGTTGGAGTCATAGATTCTTCTTTGTAGTATTGGTTCTTTATTTGAAGAATGACACTAATATGTTTGGTCATATTTCTGAATCAAAATAAATTAATTACATAGCTTTACTTCAAGAGCTTACTGTATTTTTATGGCTGAGTCCTCCAAATTTAAAGCATGAAAGGGCATTTGTATGTAATCGTTAATCTCTTGCTTGTTTCCATTGACAAACACCTCCCCTTATTTAAAAGTGTTGGTACTAACTAAAGCATTGTGTTGTAAAATATGCTTTCTCTGTTAGTGATTCTTGGCACTGAAACCTCCAACAAATATGAGATTAAAAACGGCTTGGGACAACGAATTTACTTTGCAGTGGAGGAGAGCATCTGTTTTAATCGTACGTTCTGCTCCACGTTGCGATCCTGCACTCTGAAAATCACAGATAACTCAGGTCGAGAGGTGATTACAGTAAACCGGCCCTTAAGGTGTAACAGCTGCTGGTGTCCTTGTTACCTACAAGAGGTGAGTTACTGGCTCTGAGTGTCGTTTTATTTTTGAAGATCAGCAATTATTTCTTTAAGTCTTTTGTCAGAAGCTATGCGGCAATTAATTTTTCAATTGTTTGAATGTGTATCTTGTGTTCTAATATCAGAAAACTTGAGATTTGGTGAGTCACTAGAATTTATTCCTCTCCAACCAAAAACTGTGGTAGCTTCTATGATGCTAATTGATAAACACAGCCCCCGCGTCACGTAAATGAGACACATCCTCTGTAACCCTCGTATTAGCCATGTAGTTGTAATGTCTGCAAGTTCCACCATTCAACAAAACTACCCTTGGCTTCCCTAATAGCAACAAAGTCCATGGCACTAAACTCTGAGGTGTTCTCTTCATCAGGTGTCACATGACATGGGATTTCACATCCCGCTTGCCCGTTTATGACAAATTCCAAATAGAGATTAGCAAAGGCGATGTTATTGTTCTAGAGGCAATAGTAAATCATCTTATTTTAATAGATTTTCATCATTATGTAATAAACCTATTAAATAATTCTCATGAACATAAGCAACGATGTCATTGAATCAATGCAGAACTTTTGCTTATTTTACTTACTTTGATATGACAACTTTGTGAGGCAGAAAGAGCTGGTTTTATTATCTGCCTCTTGTAATCCAGGCAACCAGAGGAGGTACCTTGCCTATGATCACACACTCAGCAAAAGCCACTAAGGAAACTTGATCTACATGTCCCAACTTAACCCCAAGCTTCTCTGCTGAAGACCTGTGTATAAGCAATGTCCTTAGGACAGTGACAAATATTAATAGCAAAGGTGCTTATTTGAGGAAGCTTCTAACAATATCTATTGAAGTTAATTCTCCAACTATTTATAGGCAAGCAGTTAAGTGATGAAATGATTCAAGAACTCAGTCACAAAGCCTAAGAATTTTCATCCTCCTACTGAGCATATATGTAAGGTTAATGTACTGATAGTATAATCAATAATAACACATATATGCAACAATTTTTTAATTTCTGATAATCAATATATCTGTGTAGTAGCCTAGTGTCATATAAATAAAAATATAAGATGTGTCTTGACAGTCACTAATCTTTTTAATTTGTTCAAAATCAAACCAGTTGCTTTATTTTTTTTTTTTTTTTTGGTTTTTCTCCGGTACCGGGAACCGAACTCACGACTTTGCGCTTGCCAGGCAGGCGCTTTGCCGCTGAGCTAAATCCCCAGCCCCCAAACCAGTTGCTTTAGAAATCATCTCAGAACAAATATGTGTAATCCTAACCATCAAGTAAACCCACCTCTGCTTATCCAAGTACGCTACAGACATGAACACAGGACTGTGAGCTTAGGAAGAAAAGGGAAAAGAAGATTAAATGATGAAGAGCTGTTTTAATTTAAAAGCAAACAATATGTCTTATTTGTACCCACCCTGACTCACATTACTTAATGATTTGACTTGGTTTATATACATATGTAAATAATAGGGTCAAATGCTAAAATTATGCCTCAAATTGAAAAACTGCAAATATCTAGTGTTAATACTTTAAAAGATGTGAACCAACAATCAAATTGGTGTTTGTTCAATAACTGAAAATCTGCAAAAAATGTATTTGTTTCTTTTAAATTAAGTGCAAAGAATCTGAAAGTTGACAATTTGAATAGAAAAAAGATGAACACTTGGTAACTGGTAAAAGTGGGTTAAGAGGATAGATGTATGCTGTGACTACATCTCAGAAGAGGTTCTATGAGGTATAACACAGGGATTTCTGTGCTTGACCAAGAGTTATACTTGGAACAAAATGGTGAAGAAGCTATTGTAGTGCTCTAGGGCCAGACGATGGTCGTGGGGCAGTTCTCTTAAAGGAAGTACAAAATAAACTCTTATGCATTGTGCCAGACATATCTGTATAGTGAACTTCTTTGTGTCTGTAACAAAGGTGTTATATAAATGTAAAATAAACCTGCTTTATAATGGTTAGCAGTAATATTTAGAATAACTTGTACAAACCCAAGGGGGTGCTGTTTGGAGGTAAATTTTCATTATAATGCAATTAAAATATAATAAGCTTAGAAAATCTTGTTCTATTTTTATCTCTTCTTGCAGTTAGAAATACAAGCCCCTCCTGGTACTACGGTTGCTTATGTGGCACAGAAGTGGGACCCCTTTCAGCCTAAATTCACAATCCAAAATGCAGACAAAGAAGATATTTTGAAAATTGTTGGTCCTTGTGCAACATGTGGCTGTTTTGGTGATGTGGATTTTGAGGTATGACTGACAAAAATAAAGTTTGCATTAAGGTCTTCATTTTTGCAACAAAATTCAATTTCACAAAATGCATAAAACATCCCTGAAGTAAGTTTAGAAAGTTACAGTAAAATAACCTAGTAAGCTTATTATTTTGTGCCCATAATACAAATTTATTATTGAAGATGTTAAGTTCAAGAAATAAAAAAATATAATTTTACAAAAATATACTCCCTTGGCCATGATATCTCTAATAGACACCTTGGCAAAAATATTTGTTGTAGATTACAAGTTTTATTCAAAGTAATTTTTAAAAAATTAAAAGCACCTATGGCTATCAAAAAATATTTTAAAATATATTTAACTAACTGCAATGGATGAAAGTACTATAGTTTCTCATTTAAGATAACAAATGTCTTATTATTTTAAAATCTAAGCCTTTGAAAACCGAACTTTCATGTACATATAGTTCTGGCTTTTTCAGATTATCAGTATTTTCTGATTTCAAAAAATAGTGGTACATAATGTTTCTGATGGTTTGCAGTAGATGGAATGACACATACACACTTTATATAACTTAGAAATCAACAAATTATGTATCTTATTTCTTATAGACCTGGTGGTCACATAGCCTATGTTAGATCTCATTTCAGAAGTACAACCTGTTAAAATATTACTGATTTTAAAAGCTATATTTGAAAGATTTGCTAAATTTGTTCTGTAAGCCAATTCATTCAGTTTTCTATAATTGAAAGTTAAAATAAATAGTTGCAATTTCAATTCATAGCAATACAAAGTATCTAAACAGAGTTCCCTAGACATACATTTTAAGTAAAGGAGACAGTCTAAAGTTTACACATATTATCCATATATATATATATATATACACATGACATTCCATTTTCAAGACTCCAGGGAAAATAATTCACCTAGCATACATTACAAATTGTACAGTGTGAAATGTACTAGTTCCAAATATTCCAAAAGAATTTGTCATAATATTTTAAGAGCAATATGCTTACAGAAAACTTAACCTTAATAAATTTAGTATTTATGGTATTGAAATCCCCTAAATTACTTTCTCTAATTTCTATTTGTTACCACCATATGGAAAATTAAAATTTATATTAAATAACTTTCATCATTATAATGGGAAATGAAGGGTAGGAAAATGCTTTACTGATAAAACTGAATTGTAGACTCCTGAAAAAGACTGACAGACTTTGAGGTCAGATTGGTCTGAATTTCCCAGAGTGTTTTTTAGCTCAGAAAGTTTTTTAATGTTAAAATAAGACTAACCTTACAAAGGAATGGCTTGGGAACTGTCTTCAGAATAACATAAAAATCCAATTTAACAATTTATATTGTTTAATGATTTAATAATACTAAAATATTAGTTGATATATACACATGACTGGAGAATTCAGCTTTAAAATCTAGATCCCAGGAAAACGAATTCCTTCAGGCTTAGACTGTATAGTTGAATGGTGTACCTGCTGCCCTCTTGTGGTTCCTTGGCGTTTGTTATTTATTATCATTATATTCTCAATTTGCATACAAAAAAAAAGTTTTATGGTGGATTAGAAAATGGCCATAAAATCATAATTCCTGGAGCATGAACTGTAAAGTTAAATTTACAAACTTGTGCTTAAAGGAATCTGTAACATGGACTTGCTACTTAGTGATGGTGGATAAAATAATTGATCTCTTGTGACGTAAACATACTAAACTGTAAAACCATCCCTTTTTAACCTTCAAATTTTATACCTCTTATTTTTTTATTTCAAAGGTGAAAACCATGAATGAAAAGCTCACAGTTGGGAAGATTTCAAAGTACTGGTCTGGATTTGTAAATAATGTTTTCACAAACGCTGACAACTTTGGAATCCATGTGCCTGCAGACCTCGATGTGACAGTTAAAGCGGCGATGATTGGTGCCTGTTTCCTCTTTGTAAGTATGGTCTCCGCGAGTATGAGGGAATTTTCTACCTCTCGTCTGTCAGTTGCTACAGAGCCAACCCCAGGGTGGATCCGACTTTTGACCCACAGAGTACGTTTCATGCATGGAAGGCTAGTTTAAGGCCAATCTGTTTTTCTTCCTATTTTTCAAAAATCAGAATTTGGAGGCCTATATTTCTCCCAAGCATGGGGGCACATGCCTGTAATCCCATCACTCTGGGAGGCTGAGGCAGTGGGATTGAAAGTTGGAGGCCAGGCTGGGCAGCTTAGTAAATTAATAAGATCTCATCTCAAGAAAAAATAAGAAAAGGCTGAGACTGAGTGTGAAGAGCCTGAGTTCCAGCCCAAGTTCTACAAAAACACAAAAACAAAACCAGAAAAACTCTCCATTTCTAGCAGGCGGCCCCTCTCAAGGCAGCTCCATGAGATCCTTCTCATTATTTTCTCAAAAACTGAGTTTTGTTTCCTTTTCACTGTCAATTAAAAAATATGGAAACGTTAATATTACATGTTCATCTTGGGTAAAGATCAGGACTCTTTCATTGATTAACAGCGAGCCAGCTTATTTTCAGAGTATGAAGAGTACAGCCTTCTCGACCTTCCAATGTGAAGACTGACACATTGGATTCACAGATCAGTCAATAGCTTCCAGTTACCATTATCACTAAGGCAGATCCTGTGTTTTCTTTCCAACTTATAATTTTGTTTGAAACACCTTTTGGTAACTGGAGATTGGTGAAAAAAGAACAAAACACTTGCATAAAAACACTTGGATATCTCCTGTTCCTACTCACCCCTCTGACGTCTCCTTTTCAATGCATTCAAACAATATAATTATTAAATAATGACCATTTTTCCTCAGGTTTCACTCTTCAGGGTTTCAGGGTCTGAAGCCTTATGATATCATGGTGTGTTCTGCTCTTGAACAAAATCAGCCCTGCTCACTGAATCTCCTTTAAAGGCACTGTAAAAATAAACTAAAAATAATGCCCTAATGGTATCACTGATGAACATTCAGAGTGCAGTATAAAAATAGAGATATTTACCTACTAGAATTATTTCTTCAAGGCTGTAGAGGAGTTATTTTAACGTCCTGATTCCCTATCACTGGTAGAGTTAATAAATGAAGAGTGCTGTGTTTTTACACTTATTAGTCATTTAAACTCAATTTCCGTTTTCATTTATAAATAAAACAATTGCAATCCCCTAACCTGTCACCTAATATTTGTTCTATTTTTGAATCCCTCTATCCACATGAAAGTTTTTTATCACCTCCTGCTTACTCTTTCTATTTTTGATCATTCTGCACTTTATCAGCAACTTCTCCAAATACACACACACACACACACACACACACACACACACACACACACGCTTTGCTGCAAGACCTTCATTAGACTTTTCTGATTAATGCTCACATTTACTTTTCATATTAAAAATTACCCAGGCACAGTGGTACATGTTTGTAATCCCAGCACTTGGGAATCTGAGGAAGGAAGATCACTGAGAATTCGAGGCCAACCTGACTACGTAGTGAGTTCAAGGCCAGCCTGAACTACATATGGAGACCTTGTCTCAAAGCCCCAAAAGAAAATTGTTAAAGACAGATAATCTTCAATGTGATCTATTCTCCTACTTTATGTAGCAGATTGATTGCAAATATACACTTTCAAAAATGATAATATATTTTCTTTATCTTAAACCTTACTTGCTTTTCTTTAGTAAATTTTAAAATGTACTGACTTTCCCAAAGATTTCTAAATGTAGGTTCTCTTGAGCAAGTATATTTCCCTATTCTTTCTTCATAATCTTTGAAAGATTGACAAAATGTGTTTAATAAGTGTTGAGCTATGTTCCGCTCAGAACCTAGCAGAGGTGTAAAGTAGCTTGGAATCTTGTTGAAAGGTAAAATCTCAGACACCGGCTCACATGCATCAGAGCCAGAGTATGAACAAGAGGCCCAGCAGCTCCTCCATGCCGTATAAATTTGAGAAATATTGATTCCGGTAACATCTCAGTCTTTTTAAAGGATGACTATTAAACACCAGAAGCTAAAGGAGAGACCTATAAACTGAGAGTAGTTAATGGCACATATATGCTTCTTTCTTTTAAAAAAATATTAACATAGCACTTTTGGGTCAATGTAATTGTGTAACAATTTCTCACATGCATTTGCAAGAAGAATTACTTGCCTATGTACATACATAAATTTTGTTGGTTGTTTTTCAATATAACCTCCTATACTGACTGTGAATGTCTATAATCTAATTCTGCAGTTTGGATCCCCCAAAATTTTAATTAATAATAATGGTCTGATTTAACTAAGCTTTCCAAGTTACCAATACTGAGAATTTTAATATGTGCCATAAATCTTGAAGCTTTTCACTTTTTCTTTTATTGATGAGATGTTACTGGAACACCAGTGGGAAACATAATTACTTTATATAATCAAAGCTTACATGTCAGACTCTTGATTCTAATTGTTCCCTTTTTGTAAATGCACTCATATTCAGTTTATTTATTTGTAGGATTTTATGTTCTTTGAACATTCACTAGCTGGATTATAACAAGCAAGCTGACAAAAACAATAAAATATGCAGAACATATTTCAGTAAGTAAAAGGCAAGCTTACATGATTTCTCTCCCTTTGAAGATGTCCATATTTGACGCACTCTAATTCGTTTTCATTTTCTTCTAGACATCCCTTGGGCTCCAGATTTCATTTCTGATGGTTTGAGTGTTTATTTTTTTAAATTAATGTTAATTATAATATTTATTAAATCATAATCTAATGAGGCAATTATCTAGTTGTGAATGCATGATAGCTAAATACCCAATTACTGGCCTGAACACAAGGTTTCTTTGAGAGATTACCATCCTTTCATTTTATCCTTTTGAAGTTATTGCAATGGTAAGCATGAAAGATGAGAACGAAGGCTTGCAGTATCACTGATGAAAATTCAATGTTTAGAGAAGACTTTGAAGTTTTCCTGGTACTAAGGGTGGTTACTAATCAAAAGGACTGAATTTCTAAAGTATTTTTTTCAAAAACAGTCCCTTCTGAATTTCTTTATTAATTTCCTCTATTGTTGTGAGACGGTTTACTTTGTATTCGAAAAGTTAAAGGTTGAGTAAATCCTATGCTTATGAGGATTAAGATAGATGTTTTCAATCCACCGTAGTGGCAGGAAGCACAGTTATAGTCTATGAGTTAATCAATGTTTACATACATAGAAAAGTGCACTTAAATATCCCCTTATGTCAGAGATTTCAATAATCATGCATACAGACTTCTAGATTAGTAAACAGCAGTATTATCTACCAAGAATTTTGCAAGGAAATTTGCAAGGAAATTTCACCTAAGTAAGGTATCCAAGGCTCTGAAGATGAAAAACTGAAAAATTCTGGACCTTTAAAACAAGCAAATAAAAATCTGAATCCCTGAGACAAATGTGAAAATAAGAAAGCACATTAAATTAAACTAATTCTTAATTAAACGTTAAAACAATGTTTTTGGAGTATTCCCAATTACTATATCCTAGTTGTCTACACGTTTCCAAAGCTCATACAAAATGAAGGTTCTTCTTCATGAATAAGAACAATTATTCCCTTTTCAAAATTAGGGAAACTATTTCTTTTAAGCAAGGCACCATGCAGTAGTCATTTAGGCTATACTTTAGGATTACACAAATACTACCCAAATTTCCATTAAAATATGAAGGTAGTTGAAGAAATGTTGGACCATTCTCCACTAACAACCAGAAATGTATTCCGAGCATCTGTTTCTACGTCAATTGTTTGAAATGAGGAACTGATCATCTCCCAGAAATAACATTACAGGTGGTAATTATCTTACTCCAAGTAGTCCGCAAGATCCATTTACTTCTGGGTTCTGATATAAGGGCCTTATGTTGTATAAGATGGAACAATACAAAGCCTCTTTCTTACTTTCTGGTGCACTTTCTTAAACATTCGTTATGCTTACTTTAAGCCTTCACTTTTTCTGATAACCCTTTTAATTGACATGCAGAAAATACAAATGACCTTAATCAAGCAATCATAAAAGAACTTTTACATGAGCAAAATTCTTCAGGTACTAACCAACAAAAATAACCATGTTACACAATAGCACACAAGTTATCTCCAAGTCGTATGACGATCCATTTCATGAATTGGTGTCACTTGCATGTTGGGAGAGTGCAGTCACAGAAAGGAACATAAACCCTGTGTGCAATGGATACCACACTGAGTCTAGCTTTGCTGTTTCCTGGCCCTGCAACCTTAAAACCTATAGTCTTTCAGGATCTGCTCAGGATTCCCATACTATTTGCCATAAGGGGTACTTATAGGACAGTAAGGGGAGCTCAGCATCTTTCCCTTCGCCTTTACTTTATTTCAAAGAAAAGGTATGTGGTTTATATTCCTTTGCAGCCATTTAAGAAAACGACATTTTTAAGGTGATGCTTATTAACTAATAAGATAAAGGAAAAATAATTGCTATATTTTGAGTTTCAATTCCTTCCAAAATTTATGCAAATTTAGCTACTACTGTACCAGTATTAAGAGGTAGGAATTCTTGGTTTTTCTCCGGTACCGGGAACCGAACTCACGACCTTGCGCTTGCCAGGCAGGCGCTTTTGCCGCTGAGCTAAATCCCCAGCCCCGAGGTAGGAATTCTTGGATGATTTCATCATTGAGCTCCACTCTTGGGAGCAGATTTAATATCATAAATAATAGCTCTCACCCCTTCTGCTTTTCTACAATTCTGTCTCTAGAAGATGCAGTACTTATGGCACTATCTTGGAAGTAGAGACCTGCTTCTTATCAGGTACTGATACTACTGTGCCTTGATCTTTGACTTCCCAGGCTACAGCACAGTGAGAAATGTATTTCTATTCTTTATGAATTTCCCAGTCTTGGGTGTTTTGCTATACAAGCAAAAACAGATTTAGACAATAGCTCACTTTTCCTGAGAACTTACTACATTCTAGACCCATGCTGTATGGAAACTCCTGGTAGAATACAAAAATGAAATGATAAAGGGATAGTGGGCAGTAGGTGAAAAACTACTTGGGAACCTGTATTTCCCTCTCTTCATTCTACACTGCTGCTCCATGTTCAAACTTTCTGCCTAAAGTTGATTCTGCTTTCATATCCCTGATTGTTTTTTATTTTTTTATTTGTAACATGAAAGATTCTTGTAACCAATGTCACAACAAAAGTAACTAAGACTATCACTGTATTATTCAGTTGTCCCGTTATTGGGGAAAAATATTTGACCTCCAAATGTAAAGTAGAAGAGTTATAATTTGGCTGACAGTTTCAGAGGCTGGACTCCATGACAGGAATATCATGGTGGAAAGGTACAGCGGACCAAAGATATTTATTTCATGATAGCTAGGAAGCAGAGCCTGTGAAATATATATCCCCCAAAGGCACATCCCCAGTGACTCACCTCCAACTGGGCCATATCTCTTACTACCACATTAATCCGCGGATGTGTATAGTGCCGCATTGTCAAATCACTTTTCCAGGGTCCATTACTCCAGTCAAGTCAGCAATTAAGATTAACTGACACAAGCTCATCCCTTGACAATTTGACACCCAATCACATCTTGTTAAACACTACTTGATCACCAAATAAAAACAATAACAAGGTCACAATTCCACCTAACATGATATAACATGATGTAACTACAGCATGGCTCAAAACTCTAAATCAAAGCCACCTCTGGGACTAGTGGCAAACTCTAAGCTGCATGACCTATAAAAATCAAAACTTGTTAAATATTTCCCAGACATAAGGGCACAATATAAACATCCCTATTTCAAAAGAGAGAAATAGGGGGATAAAAAAGAAACCAATACAAGACCAAAACCCAGCAGGGCAAAACATTAACTCCTTTACATCCATATCCAGCATTCAGGGCACATGTTCATAGATGTGAGCTCCAAAGGGCTTGGACCCCACCCCTATGGTCTTACCAGTAACAATTCAAGCAGCCTCTCCCTTGGACTGGCTCTGCCCACAACCTGCAGTTTTTTCTCAGCAAATGTTCTCTGTTCCAGGCACCTCTACATTCCTAGGGTCTCCACTGTACCTTTGACTTCATTCCACATCTTCACACACTTCCCTCTTGGGGAACACTGCCCTTCCTGTGACCCTATTTCTCTTTGTGTGTGTGTGCGTGTGTGTGCATGCTACTGGAGATTGAACACAGAGTTTTTGTACTGAGCTATATATCCCCAGTCCATTTTATTTTTTACCTTATTTTACTTCAAGACAAGATCTTGCTAAGTTGCTTATTTGCCCTGGGTTTGAATTTATGATCCTCCTGGCTCAGCCTCCCAGAGTGCTGAGGCTAGTCATGCACCAACACACCTCACTGATGCTATAGTTCTTGCATTCCTCCTGCATGCATGATTAGCTTCATGTGAACAATGCCAAGTTCTGCCTCTACAATGAGCAGAAGCCAGACTCACATGAGCTATGGCTCCAGGGACCCCTGAATTCCTGAAAGTCTGAGTGTGGTGAAATGAATACCAGTGAATCAATTTCTAAGTGGCCCTTTTTTGAGCAAGGGGTTAAAGCTCTGTCTTCTCAAAAGAAGGGTTGACACATTTGTTCCCTTGAGGCATATGATGGTTCCCTTGAGGCATTTGCTGATTCCCGAGATGCCCTCAATGAATCTTTTTCCTTGTCTCAATTTAAAGTATTGGTTTCTTTTTAATGATGTTAATCTGTCTAGTAACTTCACTTCTGGCCCTAGCATTTACATGCTTCTATTCTAGCTAAAACTTAAATTTTTTCAATACTCTCTGATCTGCTTTTTTCCTAACAATTCTCACTATAAATCTAACTGAAAGCAGGCAGCAGTTCCCATGCCTTAGCCTGAATTTTTTTTTTGTTTTTTTTTTGTTTGTTTTTTGTTTTTTGTTTTTCTCCGGTACCGGGAACCAAACTCACGACCTTATGCTTGCCAGGCAGGCGCTTTGCCACTGAGCTAAATCCCCAGCCCCATATTTTTTTTTTTTTTTTTTTTTGGCCTTAGCCTGAATGTTAAGCCTTAAAATTTCCTCCACCAGATCTATTAGTCTGCTACCTTTAAGTTCAGCCTAGCACAAAGCTTTAGGACAACATTTAGACAATTTTTTGGCCAGAGTGTAACACTGACATCTCTAGTCCAATTCCCAAAGGAGTCTTTGTTCCCATTAGAAATCCCATGAGAACAGTTTTAACTGTCCTCATTCCTAGCAACATTCTGGTCTCCTGAGCTCCTACCAGAGTTACCCAACAAGATATACTTGCAGCTTTCTAGGTTTTCTCCCACCCAGTTTCCCAGATGTTTTCAAGTTCCTTTTGTAGAACCAATTCCAAATGCTTCTGAACAGCATGGTCAAATGCAGTCACGAAAATGGTCCCACATCTCTCTTCTGTATTAATTAAATTTTTCCACTGCTGGGAGAAAATACTTGACACTCACAAGTTAAAGCAGGGGTGGCTTAATTGGTCTCATTTTCAGAGGTTTCAGTTCATGGTTGGCTGGTTCCAAGGCAGGAACCTCATGGTGGAAGGGCACTGAAGAGCAGAACTGCCCCTTCACGGCGGCTCAGAAGCAGAACACAAGAGCAGAGGGCCAGCATGAGATGTACCCTCCAATGATATGGCCCCTGTGACCCACCTTCAACTGGGTCCTCCTCTGAACAACACATCTAGATAGAAGTATCAGTGGATTAATTCATGATGAATATAACACTCCCATGATCCTGTCACCTCTCCAGAAA